AAATGACGTCGTTTTAGAAGGGAAATATGTCTTAGGATGACGTCATTTCGCCGTTGTTATTTAAGTTGTAAGTTCATACGCTATTGTAAGAAAATAGTAATGGATGAAATGACTTTAATTTCCATGAACATATATCATATTGAGGTTAACCATTTTAAATATGAAATAATATGGCAGAATATGCAAGAAAAAATATCTTTCATATGTTTGCGGCTCGGATCGGAATATCCGTCCCTCGGGAACCCGCCCATGGGCGGTAACTCGGCAAGCTTCGTTACCGCCCAATGGGCGGGTCCCCTCGGGAGGATATTCTGGTCTGAACCGCAACATATGACAGATATTATTATTTTATGTTGATATGTTATTGGATTTGTATGGATATTATTGATATATGTTTGAACTGTATCTTATTAGGTGTCTTTTACAGCTTATTGAAAATGGTATATATTTGTATTAGAAATAAAAAAGTATGAGGAAGAATGCATGCACAATTTTATATTATGAAAACTTAATTGCATTAAAATGTACTGTTCAATTACAGGCATTTTTCAATGGGAAGTTAAAGATCAAAGGAAATACTGGTCTGGCAATGAAGTTGAAAGACCTAAAAATGCCAGAGGGTGGAATGAAAGCAGCACCAGCCAGTGGTAACTCAAAACCAGGGTCAGAGTTCAAAGTGGCGCCTGTGTTTGACCTAATTAAGGCAGAAATTGAAAAGGTAATATTCTTTTATTAATATTTCTTTATGATATTTGCATAAATAAAGTAATACATTCCAAGTATGACTAAAATTTTGATAACATTTCAATATGTAATTGGTATTAATTTCTAAGGTCATAAGAAATCGTATCTTGCGATCAACGAAAGAATACATCAGAACTGTTAAAGAGAAGAATAAAATTATTTAACCCTTACCTTGTTTGAACTAAAGTTAATCGATCGGCCTTTTACTGTTGATATCTGTGCAATCTGACCAGGCTTTATACTGTTAGTAGCTCAATTTTAGTATTGTGATATTGAAATTCCTTTAAGTTTGAATGTAATCTTGCAAATTCAAAACTGGACACAACTATTATACCAATTCAGCAGGTAATGGGTTAATTCTCATAGTGAGCATCAATAATATGTTGTATGTACCATTAGTAAAGCTTGCAAGCTGCTCTCAAACCTCATAAAATTGATATATAACCAATGTAAAGTTCCAAATAAAAGAGTATAACACAAAAATTTAAATTGGAAAAGGTTGAGTTACAGGAAAGTTATGCTGTGGAAATAGTCAGATAACTGTGTTCTTGTTTCAGGATGGGGCCAATATTGTAAAGAAGATGAAAGGAGTGTTTTGTTTCCGTGTGAAGAATGCCCAGGGTAAGGAGGGTATATGGATCGTTGATGCCAAAAATGGTACAGGCTCTGTGTCACATGGTGGACCAGGTATTTAAAAACTTTATTTCAGAATTATATACCATTATTTTTTCATTGGTTTACATGGATTTTGTATATTCATGCTAAGATTTCCAATGAAAAACTCTGGTTGTAAAACAGGTGAATGTTGGTGGATGGATGGGCAACTGGTTGTAAAACAGGTGAATGTTGGTGGATGGATGGGCAACTGGTTGTAAAACAGGTGAATGTTGGTGGATGGATGGGCAACTGGGCTTAATCAATGTCTTCTGAGCCATATTCCACCTATTTTTTATGGGATTTCAACCAGATTTTTACTGAACTATTGAGATCAAGTGCTAGAAGTGTTTTGTGATTTGATCACATGTTGTATTCCACATATATGATATTGGCTGTTTCTTTCCTGTTACTTGTTTGATAAAATATTTGTATTTATCTTTTAAGTTCCCAGTGAGATATTTCAAATCCATATATTATTATTTTCAGCTAAAGGAGATGTAACTATAGTAATGAATGATGAAGATATGCTCAATTTAATGTCAGGAAAACTTAATCCACAAAATGTAAGTTTTTTTTCCCCTTATTCTGACAAAAATATGGTTTTAAATATTTTAAGTAGTAAGCACAAACTTGTGTTTCATACAACAATTTTAGTTTATTTAGATATAATCTTTAGATGTAAATTTATCATTTACTTATTACAAAGACCTTCAAATTTATCATTTGCTTATTACAAAAACCTTCAAAATTATCATTTGCTTATTACAAAAACCTTCAAAATTATCATTTGCTTTTTACAAAAACCTTCAAATTTATCATTTGCTTATTACAAAAACCTTCAATTTATTATTGACTTGATATGATTATTTCTCAGTAAAACTTATTACAATGTATACTTGCAGGCGTTTTTCCAAGGCAAGTTAAAGATTCAAGGGAACATGGGCCTAGCAATGAAACTCAAGGAAATTCAACCAAAAGGACAGTCAAAGTTATGATGTGCTGATATAACTGTGATAATAACATTCTGAATCATGATTACACTCTTCTGAAATATGAAATTGTGACCAAAATAATCAATCCATGATTTTTGTGCTTTCTGTTTGGACATATAATATCTGATAACTTAATTGATCAGTGACTTAAACTCAAAAATTCCCGAACTTAATAGATCAATGAATTAATTTAATTCTCAAAGTCAAGTCAAAGATTGAAAGTGTCTTGATAATTGAATGCTTAATTGTCTGGTTTTCAATTGCTCATAGTTATTGTAGTTTTGCTTGATAATTTATGGATTGCACAAACTAAACTGTTGAAATTTATATTTGTGTATAAATACTTGAAACAAAGTATTATTTTATAGGCTGAAAGATTTTTATTTCTTTGTTTGATTATATTATATATCATGCATCAAATTTAAACAGAGAGAAATTTATAGTGCTATTTATAATTTATTATTTTGAAGATCATGAATATTTAAATTTTTGAATCTTTAGTAAAACTGTTAGAAAGAAATTAGCCTTTGCCACTAGAAAAGAGGCAGGCAAGTCTGCACATACATGCAGTCTGACCAGACTATATACTGTTGGTAGACTGATTTTTTATTTTTTTCATCCTGTTTTCCCCAAAATGTATAATGAACAGTTCCAAAAATTGAAGCTGGACAAGTTCATTTAAGAAATACAACAGGGCCTAAGACATTATGTATTGATATACATTCATAATTCAGAAATTGATTATACTTGCAGGTTAATTGTATCAGTTGAAATTGATTCTCATATTCATCAAATTGTTCAATATACAAACTCTTGAATAGTTAATACACTGATTTAACATTGAAAGTATAATTGATCAATATAAGGATGAATTTGAAAACTGTTTGCTCGCATGAATAAATGTAGATGACCAGTAAGATTCTTTTTAAGGGATGGTGGGGGAAAATGTACTTAAGATTAAATAAATTTTTATTTATTTCTTATGATCTGCTCTATTTATTGTTACATGTCCTTGAAATAAGATATTGCTTGTTATGGATTTTGAATAAATAATCACTGAGTCAATATGATTTGCTTGAGATCATATTTCTGATCTAAATTATGATACTGATGCATTATTTATTAGTGGGACTTGGTTCTATTTTACATATTACAAAATAGTTTTGATTACGACATGTTTAATATGCTATTTTGTTGAATTGACATGCATGTATTTTCTAATTTATCAATATTTTTTTAAATTCAGTTGCCTAAGAATTGTGCTTGATTTTTAAGATGGTACATTTATAAAATAAATCGAGACACTGTTCAGCTGTTTGGAATAAGACTGTCAGTCAAGAAAATCAACAGAATATATAATAGGATTTAAGTTACAATGCCTTCATATTGTTGGGTATATGAGTACTTTGTATCCGAAAGTTTATATACATATATATGCTTATGATTTATAGAAAATTTACATATTTCAATTTACATATTTTTGCCTTCACAGACATTTCATATAAAAACAATTAAGTGATTGCTTAAGATATAGAAAAAATAAAAAATATAATGATTATATTGTTTTGTTCATTTATTGCTTATTAATGGAGTACATGTATTATTTTTGTCAAAGATACAATACAAATCTGAAATGGAGGTATTTTTTGGGAAGGCAATATGGCCTTCATATGCCACCTTTCCAACTGCATATGCCCAACAACTACAATATTCATGCAAATGAATCTGAATATGGGTCAATGCTATTAAACCAATCGTATAAAGAGCTTTCAATAATGCATTAAGAATTATCAATTTCTTAAATGCTGCTTCATAGAACTACTAAAATCAAATTTGTGAGAGTTTAAGGAAAAATACTACAAGTTTGTATAAATCATTTGTTTGTTAAGAATATAATCTACAGTATTTAAACTCCATGATCAGTAAAGCAGACATCTGTTTTATCACAAACATAGCATGAGCTAGCTGGATAGCTTCTTCATATGTAGCTTTGTAGGCCAAGCTGTAGCCGACTTACCTTTTACTTGCCCCAATAAGCTGCGAGTTTGAATCCCACCAGAGAAATTTATTTTAATGAGTTATACCTTTAAGGTCATTGGTTCTACTCTGTGACTTCTTCAGCTTGTTATAATTTAAAGAATTTTAATTGAGGTCTTACTACCCTTGTGGCTGTGGGCTTGCCTTTTAGAGTTGAGGCATCAGAATTGCCGCCATCATTTATCCCTGCATGATAGTAAGAGTTTATGTATCTTTTAGCTCCATCAGGTGAGATGGTTTTGACCCCAGGTATTGCTTTAAGATTGTAACACCCTTCCTTTGTTTGCCAAAATCATCTTTCCTGTTTTGGCACTATATGACCTAAATTGTGTTGATGTGCTGTAAAACCAATAAAAACTAGAACTGCCACTGTCATGACGTGAATACCCCCGCATACTACTTTGTCAGAATCAACAGTGGCCATTTAGAGCTCAAGGGCAACCTCCCTGCTATATCTGAGGTTACTAAGCCAGTGCATTGCTAAGTTATGTATTCTACATGCTTCAATATGAAAATGTCAAAATCAATACACTGCGGACAGGCATTCTTAAGCAATTGAGGGGAAAAGCTTTTTTTCAGTCAAGCTCCCTGTGACCTTGATCTTTGACCCAGTGACCTCAAAATCAATAGGATTCACCTTATGGTCATGATCAACCTCCATGCCAAATATGAAGACTGTGGGTCAAAGGAATCTTAAGTTAATGGGCAGACAAACGTTTTGAAGTCAAAGTCCATGTGACCTTGACCTTTGACCCATTGACCTTAAAATCAATAGGAGTCACCTACTAATCATGACTAACCTCCATGCCAAATATGAAGACTGTGGGTCAAAGGAATCTTAAGTTATTGGGCGGACAAGCTTTTTGAGTCAAGGCCCCTGTGACCTTGACTTTTGACCTAGTGTCCTAAAAATCAATAGGGGTCATCTAATAATCATGACTCACCAGCATGCCAAATTATGAAGACTGTGGGTCAAAAGAATCTTAAGTTATTAGGCGGACAAGTTTTTTGAAGTCAAGGCCCCTGTGACCTTGCCTTTTGACCAGGTGACCTCAAAATCAAAAGGGGTCAACTACTAATCATGACTCACCTCTATTTCAAATATGAAGACTGTGGGTCAAAGGAATCTTAAGTTATTGGGCGGACAAGCTTTTTGAAGTCAAGGCCCTGTGACCTTGAACTTTGACCTGGTGACCTCAAAATCAATAGGGGTCATCTACTCATCATGACTAACCTCCCTGCCATATATGAAGACTGTGGGTCAAAGGAATCTTAAGTTATTGAGTGGACAAGCTTTTTGAAGTCAAGGCCCCTGTGACCTTGACCTTTGATCTCAAAATCAATAGGGGTCATCTACTCATCATGACTAACCTCCCTGCCATATATGTAGTTTCATATTTAGTTTGTATATATAGTTTCATGTAAAATCTGAATGTAATCAACATCAATCAAATTGTAATCATAATTACAGACTGAATTTAAGCTGTAATTGATTAATTACAATTAATGTAATCAATTTTGAGCAAGGTAATCAATTACATGATGATTACAGTGTAATCAATTAAAAAATCAATGATTACGATTAGTGATTACCCCAGGTCTGCCCCTGTGACCTTGACCTGGTGACCTCAAAATCAATATGGGTCATCTACTAATCATGACTAACCTCCATGCAAATTATGAAGACTGTGGGTCAAAGGAATCTGAAGTAATTGGTTGGACACGCTTTTTGAAGTCAAGGCCCCTGTAACCTTGACCTTTGACCTCAAAATAAATAGGGGTCATCTACTAATCATGAATAACTTCCATGTCAAATATGAAGACTGTGGGTCAAAGGAATCTGAAGTAATTGGGCGGACAAGCTTTTTTAAGTCAAGGCCCCTGTGACCTTTGAAATGGTGACCTCAGAATCATCTTCTAATCATGACTAACCTCCATGCCAAATATGGAGACTGTGGGTCAAAGGAATCTTAAGTTATTGGGGGGTGAAAAAAAACCGACGGACGCTCGACGGCCGGACGGACAAGCTGATTCCAGTATATAAAAATTGAGGTCTCTCTCTTCTTGTAATGATGGTGGCCATTTAAACTTTGTTAATAAGATGTAAACAAAAACTGCTTCCTTGTATGAATAAATCAAACCCTGGAGTTGAATTCAGTAATGACAAGATTTTATCCTGCGTTTGCAATGGAATAATAACAATATACAGAAAACTGGGAGAAAATCATTTTTATTACCAAAATATGAGTATACTGTTTATAAAATGTAAAATAAATGTATCACAATATCATCAGTTGATATGTACAAAAAATAAAGATATAGCAAACAATCATACCACAATCTTATTTAAAAACAAGTTATCATCTCTTGCATAGACTAAAGTTCTACAACATTTACCCAAGTTTATTTGTATTTCATATATTTGTACATGTATAACAATAAATTTATAATAGCAAGGTTTACAGATGGGTGGCTTTTTTGCACTATCGAAACAAGTAGTAACAGAATTGAATAACTTCAAGAAACAAAATGATGAGGTTACTGCAGAAAACAGCTTGAGTGATTGTACAAGTATAACTTTTCAAATATTGAAAACAATGAGAAAACTAAATGGGCCTTGACCACCATATGGCCATGGACTGCTCAGCATAGTTTTACAGCTACATAAACTTTATTTGACCTTAAAGTTAATTTTCCTATAGGCTTGTTGCTACTTTTTTGTATAAAAAGTTTGTTTGTGAGGGTTTTACGTCACACCGACATATAGGTCATTTGGCGATGTTCCAGCTTTACTGGTGGAGGAAGACCTCAGGTGCCCTTCCGTGAATTATTTCAGGCACGAACAGGCACCTGAGTAGAACCACCGACGTTCCGTAAGCTAGCTGGATAGCTTCCTCATATGAAAGAATCCAAAGTCCCTGTCGGGATTCGAACCCACAGCGGTGAGGGGCCAGTGGTTTGAAGTCAACAACCTTAACCACTCGGAAGTCCCTGTCGGGATTCGAACCCACAGCGGTGAGGGGCAAGTGGTTTGAAGTCAAAAACCTTAGCCACTCGGCCACAGACGCCCCTTAGAGTAAGTAGATGTAATACCTGCACCTGAGTAGAACCATCAACGTTCCGTAAGCTAGCTGGATAGCTAGCTCACATGAATGAATCCAAAGTCCCTGTCGGGATTCGAACCCACAGCGGTGAGGGGCAAGTGGTTTGAAGACAACAACCTTATATAAAAAATATCTTTACTAATTCATGTATTTTAATAATGTATCCTTTTTAGTTTTGCATAGACTAAAAACATCCTTTTCATTATCATTATGATAAACTGATTTAGTTTTGCACAATATAGACATGATTTTAAATATAATAAATAATTATGACAATTAGTGTAAATATATATCTCACAAGAAACAAAATTAAATGATCCATTATAAATACATTTTGAATGATGCTGCACAACCCCTGCTTTATTCAATATAAAAATTTTAATTTTGAATTGAGAACTTTCTATAATAAAGTCACACAGACACTTGGTGTAATGGCTGTTAATCTTATATAGTATTGCTTAAGTAACTAAAACTTGACAATAGTTTGTTTTTCTGTTTGTTTTTTTTAACGCCAATTTTAACACCTCTTTCTCACTAGTTTTACTGGGTAACTAACTAGTAATTTCCAATTTCTCTATAAGTGACCAAATACTTATTGAGCGAAGTGGGCAGATGCCATAACAACAATGACATGGACAGCACCATCCTAAAATCCTATCTTGATCTCTTTGTATTCTAACCTTCTAAAAATCAATCCATGTATTATAATTAAAGTATGCTCTTTTTCACTTCATAACAAATATAAGCCAACATAATGAAATAATCAACAAGCAAACCACTTAAAAGTATTACAATACCTGTAAATTCAGACACTAAACTAATACTAGTAAATATGCAATTACTCATAAACCAAAGGTAAGTTATTCCATAATGTAAATAAAACCTTGTAGCATTCTTCAAAAGCAATTCTGATTATGCAGTATGTAAACATGCATTATATAATACATTCAACAACTAGTATAACATGTTAAGAAGACAAAAAAAATGCTAAAAACTACTAGACTTAGTCATGTAAAATGCACAAATTCAAAAAACTCATTTATTGCCGTAATACAATTATAAAACACTGATTTATGGAATTATTATTAATGCACTTTAAAAACTGACCATGACTTTTCCTTTAAGCTGTAGAATTTCTAATAAGATGATGCTATAATACAATTAGCAATACATAGTGTCATTCACTGACTAGGAATAAATTTGATTAGAGTGTCAGATTTTTATACCAAACTGTGTTGTATAGAACAAAATTGTTACGTTAACAATTTGACCTGCTGGAATGAAAAGTAATAAGCCACCAGGATAGAGCCAGACCAGCATGCATGTCTGTGCAGTCTGACCGGGCTTTATTCTATTGACAGCTCAGTTTTTTGTATTGAAACACCGAAATCCCATTAAATTTGTTTCAAATTCAAAGCAAGGCAAATCCATTACAAACATTCAGCAGTTAAGGCTTAAAATTCAGCTGTCCCAATCATTCGAAAAATAGGCATTCATACAATATACTTATATGTACTTAACAGAATTGGGCACATTTGTAAACATTTAATTCTGGTGTAAGCATTCATTCTTGTTAATAAAATGATTTGATGTGAAAACAGAAATTCTAAGTTTGACATATAAAATGAAAAATAAGTCATGACATGATTTGACAGTATTTATCACCTTGTTGTGCACGATACTAATTACCTCAGATCTCAGATATTCAGAACTACTAGACACATATTTGATTCTATCTATATAAATACATTATTTTTGAGAAATAAATCTAAGAATAAGTTCACTATAACAAACAAGGAGTAATACCTCAGAAAATATTGATTAAAGTGGGAAAAACAGTATGAATATACATGTAAATCATTTGAAAATATAAATATGGAATGATGAAAAAAGTTACAATTATTCTTTAAAAGAGGTCTACTAATTTATAATTCACTACGTTTTGTATTTAACAGTCAACTCATCAATAATAGCAGTCCTCTTACTGTCTTCCAGTTTAACAATAAATGGGTGTTCTACTGCTACCCCACCCACTTCAGCGGGAATGGCCACTCTCATCTGGGCAGCAATCCTCTCGCTAGGTTTCACACTCTCAAGAGTGAAACAGTCGTGTAATACTGTCACAGTGAAGAGAACTTCTCTACCTGTATCAACCACACTAAACCTGTAGCAGTTCGCTGACCCCGGCGTCATTCGCTGACTCTCTTTAAAGCCTTTCCCTGGCAAATTACTGCTCTCCACAACGATTTCACCATCAAGTCCAATGAAACATTTTATACCTTTAATGTTTTCAAAGTCCATGTATGAGTTTGAACGTACTATAATGCTCAAACCTGTCCGTCCGTCCTCCGGCTGGAGATTTTTACGATTCAAGAATTGCACACGTCCCTGCAGTTTGATGTTATCAGTGGGCTTGTATTTAGCCTTGGTGACCATGTACACTGCTCGACTTTGTAGTACAATAGCCTCAGTACTAGGTAATATAGAATGAGCCTCCATATGAAATCCCATCTTGACCCATGCTTCTGGTCTGAATATCAATGTGTCCCTCATCTCAACTCTAGCGTCAAGTTTCTGACCAGACCTGTGCCTATTCTCCCTCAAGTAATATTCCAGCTGTTCACTTGTTAGATCAAAGAATGCTTTATGAGGTGGGAATTTGTAACTTACGTACATCAAATTCTCATGGTAATTATCCTCAATGTCCTTGGGATCCTGAAATACTAAAAGAGAGGCCCGTGTGTTGTCAACTAACCATTTAAGCTGTGGGACAGAGTTTTGTATGAATGAGGCTCTTGCTTCATATACTATTGGTGGTTCGAGTTCCAACTTATAAACAACATGGTACATGTCTAGGACCATGTCCCAGGTGTATCCACTCTGACTCAGATCTGTATGGTGCCCTGTTGTCCATCCGAGAGATATTGTGCATTCTTTAAACATCTTACGAATGACCTTGACAAACCTGATTGGGTCAACTTTAGGCACACCTCCCCATGGACCCTGAAGTACATTGGCATGAATCCAAACTGGTACTTTCAACTACAAAAGAAAACCAATCATTTATATTGCATACTTAGATTTTATGAAATCATTCCTAAACTTTATTTCTGTAACCAATGATTTTCCACCAATATGATATAATTTCACATCAAGTTTTATAAAAATTACACTGTTTATTCTATCTAGGCCAAAAAAGTCATAAAACAGTTCAAGTAAGAGTTTCCTCCCTTTGACTATGTACAGTGTGTAAATTGGAGATTGGTTGTCCCAATTTTGCCCTTGTAAAACTCTATTTCAATTCCAGCATAGAATATCATAAGGGTAGCACATAAAATATTTTTGTTATTCAGCAAAGTAAAAACAACTGAATGAAGTAAGCCAAAGAGCTTCTTAGAACAAAATACGACAGAAGTACATCAAATCATTTACATATGTACTTTATAACATGCTATTAAATCACCTCTTCCTTCCTATTTTTCAGTTTCTGTAATGTTAGCTCAACAGCATCCATTGCTTGAAAGTCCAGCTTTATTCCTTTAGTGTTAGCCTTTATAACCGCATCCAGCCAGATATCAAATGTGACTTCACCGTCAGTGTCTGGAAACTGGGCCATCACAGGTGTGAGCTCTTGTGTTTTTGTCCCTTGACCCCGTAACATTATATCAGCCTCAACCATGTGTACATCCTCTATAGATTATATAGAAATTTCTTTTAAACAAGCTGACAATACAGGTAACATCTCTATTTTCTTTATAAAATGTTCTTACATGTTTAACACTTACCCCACTTAATATCTTAAATGGACTTGACCATCTTTCAATCTGGACAAAACCATTTATCATTTTTAGGGAAAAATTTATTAATATGTACTGACTGTAAATGTATATGCATTGTACGCAAGAATAAATGAAATAATGGAATGAAAGTGATAAAAAAATACTTCATAACATTTAGAATACAGAGGGAATAATTATAATTATACTGCATCTTTATTAAAAACTACACAATTATAGATTAATAATATCTGTCATATGTTGCGGTTCAGATCGGAATATTCATCCCGAGGGGACCCAGACCATTGGGCGGTAACGAGGCTTATTGAGTTACCGCCCATGGGCGGGTTCCCAAGGGGCGGACATTCCGATCCGAACCGCAAACATGTCAGATATATTTTTTCTTGCATATTCTGCTATTTTATTTCATATTTAAAATGTTGAACCTCAATAAGATATTTGTTCATAGAAATTAAAGTAATTTCATCCACAACTATTTTCTTACAATAGCTTATGAATTTACAACTTTAATAACAACGGGGAAATGACGACATCCTAAAAGCACATAGTTCCCTTCTAAAATGACGTCATTTTAATGTGGTGCATTCATGAAATGCGCTAAAATGACGTTGTTGTATGGCACGCAACTAACCTGGCACCCCCCATGCCAGATGAAAATTCCGGCATGGGTAAAACTCACGGAAGTGCCAGTCTGCGATGTAAGAATACACAAGAACAAAATTAAGCTCTTGATTAATATCTTAGTATTATCTGCTTTATAATTTTGCGATGTTTTTTGCATTACAAATGTGCGTCATGTACGCCAAATATCATGTAACTTCTTTTTGGAAAGAGGTTTAATAAATCATCAAGTATTACTTACTACTATAGAGGGCTCGTTCCAATTTCTCCAAGGAATTAACACCACGAGCCCACTTGATGTTTGCACCATCATCATCAGACTCTGGGAAGAATGCTATAATATCTGCATCATTACCAATCTGTAGCATACCCATCTTGCTCTGCATAAATCTTGGTACCAGGCCTTTAAATATACAATGTTACAAATAACATAATTATATATGACATTTTGAATAACAAGAGATCAACTTCTTCATCTAAGTTACATGTAAAAAGGGATGTAATTCCTGTACTGATTTTAGACTCATGCCCCTTGTCTAACAAATGTGCCTTGTCATGATAAGCAAGTATTCCAAGTCTTATGACTTATGTTGACAACTTTCAAAATGTTTCAGTTAGGAAATAAATATCAATTCTGAGTGCATTGTTGTAGAATAATGCACGGTTTGAGTTCAAATGCGTAGTAATATAATCACGAAGGCCGATAGGCCTGAGTGATTAATTACAAAGCATAAAATTTGAACGAAAAACGTGCATTATCATACAATAATGCATTATCATACAATAATGCACTCAGAATTGATATTTATTTTCTAATTGAAACATTTTGAAAGACACTGTTAACTTCTGTACATGTATGCCAGAGCCATACATGTGAACTCTCCCACTTTTAGCGGGACACTCCCACTTTCTGCAGCTATATTTTCAAAGATTTTTCTTTAAATAAGGGGTATTTTCAAAAATTAAAGAAATCTCCCTCTTTTCAATGTCAAAACTTTCATCTTCGTTTATTGCAAATTCTAAAATCTCCCTCTTTTTGAAGAAAAACATCCCACTTGATCATCGAAAAAAGTTCACATGTAAGCAGAGCACAGCGTGAATGATTGTTATTGTAGTCCAAATATTTAAATGGAAACTGCAGACTTGAAGCTGTTTTTTCACAATGGTCAAATCCATTTTAACTTCGTATTTAAATTTGCATTTTCTGATAAACGTAAAATTGTAAAAAAAAAATTCAAAGTCTTACAATGAAGGACAAAAAAATATTATAATGATGGTAGAAAGGATTTCATTATCAATCACAGCTATAATGAACTGCAATGTCCGGGAATCAAACCCGAGTCGAACAATTCACAATCCAATGGGCTAATTATTGAGCTAACCTGATGGCTATGGGAGTTATTGTCAGGTGTCATAACAACCTTTATACCACTCTGTCTCCACAAATAAACCCATTAACTAACGAGTCACAGCTCGGTTCGAGTTATGAATAATTTTTGTAATGAAGTTGACTTCTTTAAAATCTTTATATCAACTAAAAACGATATCATTTTAAATGAAATTTCATTTTCCAGAATATTCCATGGATAGGAATCACATCTAAATTTAGACAGGTAAAAATATAGATCTACCTCCATTTATGTAAATCCACAAGAAGAGAGCAACTGCAATGCATACAGTTCTTTGGACAAGATGCTTCTTAATTTGAGGGTTGGATATCAATCTTCCAAGGATTTCGGCATCCTTTTTGGGGTTAACTTCATAATGCATTGAATTAAAAAAGTCTTTCACGTCTTTCATGTTTGTTTGTTGCTGTATATCTAATTGTATGGTTTACTCTTTTTGTTTCCAGAAACAACCGAATGAAAGATAAAATGTAAACCAGTCAAAATTAGCAATGGATAAACTCCGTATTAAACGTATGTAATCGTATTGTATAATTATTCTTCCGTAACATTCCGCATTCAATATCATACGTGTTCATACATAATTATTTGAATAATAAAGAAAAGATTATTCACCATGGTGACATACGCGTTCCTGGTATTACGTAAGAACACATTTCTGTTAATTAATCCGCTGAATAATGTAGTTATTAACATAATATTTAATTTATCATATAGAGCTAGATTCTACTTAAAAAGTGTTTTTTTTCTTCATTTATTCGTCTTAATATGACGCTCTTTATACGTTTGTTTAATACAAATTTATGACATCACATCAGAACATATGCATGTCTGTGCCATATCATCTTTACGTAGAGGTCAAAATATGCAAAAATAGCCCTTACTAGTCAAGCAGTAGAAATATGATAATAAACACTGCAAAATCTGTCATAAGTCGCTCATAATTAATTTAACATGTACATTATTACTTGAGTCTTTTTACATTTCTTGAAATATTAGTACATTTTTCTCAAGTTTGATTTTCTTGAACAATCTGCAAAGGGTAATAATGTAATATACACAGAATTCAATTGAATATCGTTTTATGTGCTTTTTAGCTCGGCCTGAGTGAGAAAACGTTGCAACGCTTTTCTTTTTGGGTTATTTTGCAAAATGATTCTTCTGAAAAGAGCGAGTGAGTGACTGATCTGAAAATTTGCACACACGTTATACATGTAGGTCCAGACCTTTATCAAATGGTATACACATCTTTGGAATATATTCCCAATCCCGTCTTGTAAAAAAAATCTCAGTGGAGCCTCTTTTATGTTAAATATTTAAGACTCGTTCAAAACAACAGGGAACTCTTATTTTGAGCAAGACAAGTCAATTTTGCAAATTTTGCAATGAAATGTTAAAATATCAAACTTTTAAAAGAGCTGATGTCTCTGTTCTTTTATTGATGACCTCCTCCGACAACAACAAACAGTACAAGAGTTTAATAAGATGTTTATTCTTTTACAAATATAAATCTTTTGCATTACAATGTGAAGAACGAAGATCATATAGTTTACTATGGATATTCTATAACTGAGTGAAATATGTCAGACAATCATAAAATAATAATAATCATAAAAATAAAAATAAAACAATAAAGAAATTGTTGATCAATTGTAAAAATAATTAATTTATTAATTTCATTAATTTATTAAGTATAGGATAGTGGATGAGTGTCGGTTCAATACTGGATTTATTGAACGAGATTACCAAAATTATATTACGCGAGCCTATTTCAATAAGTCCACTACTGAACCTAAACAAAATATAATATTGAATTCTATTATCATATACCTAAAAAGAACCATTTTTCAGAAACAAAATTCATTTTTTCATTGACGCACCTACAGTACAACACAATCATTAGCACGCTTTAAATAACGCTGGCAAATGAATACCGTTTTACGGAGTCGTGAAAGGGACACGAGTATGTGAGTAAACTATATTTACTGCAAATAATTTCTAATCAAATATGCTATGTAAACTTAATAATTTATTGGCAAACATATTATATTATTTGAATCAAATGAGATGTTCTATTAGTTCTAGACTTTCTTTGGTATTGTCTTTCTCTGTTAGCTTTAGATCTGCCACTAACAACTTTAATTTGACGCCCAACAAAGTCCTCCGACTTCTTCATTTTACAAGAACTGAGAGATTCATTGACATTCTCATCTTCAAAATCATTGTTTGTTCCTTCAATAACCAGGTTTGTTTCTTCAATAACCAGGTCACATTGCGGTGCATTAGCGTCAAACCACTCTTCTTCATCAGTATCACTGAACTCAGACCAAGTGTCCGGTGTTTCACTTTCACAACTCTCTCTTGAATTCTCAGTCATATCATCTGACAGTTTGAATAAGCTTTGTTCGGACCTGCTGGAAGGTACAGAGTCTGTAGAACACGTTTCAGAGCATACATCTAATTCAGCTAAAGCGCAAGTTTCCTTTGAATAATCGTTCAAAGTCTCATCAACTTCGGCATTGTTGTTGTTGTTGTTGTTGTTGCTATTGTTAGGGTTATGGGCTATGCTTTCTACTTGGTTGTGATCGTAAAATTTCTGCTGATTGTTACCTCTTGCATTAACGCCAGAGTCCATCTTGCTACTACTTTGGTAAGATTGTTGTGCATTTATGTTACTGGGTGGGACAGTATTTGGATGGCTATAGGGATGCGGCCAATACTGTTGATTCGGTGCTAGCTCTACATTTTCGTTCGGCTGCACGGGTTTTGCATGTTGATGTGGTATACCATTAATATACCAGACCTCGTCATCAAACTGTACATTATTATGCTGCGGTCTTTCATGAATAAAATTAAGATTCATAACCTGTGCATTTGCCATTGATCCTGCTGGTTGGTGATAAGCTTGATTGCCATTCAGTTGGTGATAATTGGAGCGTTGGCATCCGTTCAAACTGTTAGTGGTTTGGTATTGCGAATATACTCCGGAATAATAATCATTATTTTGGTAGACTGGTCTACCGCTAGTTTGCGCGTAATGCTGAGGTTGTGGAACATTTGCCGAGTGTTGACTTCCGTTTGTATAAGTGTACCTGTCCGGGACAGATGCTTGCCCATAATTCTGTTGCATTCCTGACCATTGTTGACGGCTGATATTACCGTGATTCATTTTGTTTCCTGGAACTTGTGTGTTACCATATTGCGGTTGAAATAGCACATGATTTGGATTAAATTGAATTTGTAGCTGAGAGTTCTGCTGCTGCTGCTGCTGCACAGGGGGCATTTGATGAGTAGGGTGAACTCTATACTGATGTGTTTGTTGGTAACTATTTTGCAAACGCTGTTGTTTGAGATGTTGACTTTGTGCTCGTTGCTGTTTGTGCATTGGTGGTGGATACAAATGCATATTTTGCTGCTCTACGTGTTGTTGTTGTGTTTGCTGCCCGTATTGCTGCTGCTGGTACTGAGTTTGCTGCAATGGTTTCTGTTGCTCTGCGTATTGATTTTGAAACATCTGTTGTTGCTGATGCTGATGCTGCTGCTGGAGAGGAAAATCATCTTGCTGGTTATGATGATAGTATAATTCTTGTACTTGAAATTGCTGATTTTGTTGTTTCTGGAGGTGACTGTCTGGTCTTTGTGGTTGCTCTTTTAGCGACATATGTTGGTTCTGCTGCTGCTTATAACTCTCCTGTGTGGTTTGGTCATAAACTTCTTGATCTTGCTGTGAATGGGGTTCTTGCCGATTCTGTTGTTGGTGCTGTTTTTGTTGTTGTTGCTGCTGCCGCTGCTGATGGGACCAAAACATAGACGTCTGAGCGGCAACAACAGGTCTATCCAGGTATTCGACATGAACTGTTGACCATGGATTAAACGGAGGTACAAAAGAAGTTCCCTGAAAAACAGATTGAATTCCTTATAAAATAATTGTTTTAACATTCACAGTTAGATAAACAAAAATCTTGCAAACTTATTACATTTGTATTGGCACTGATTTTTTTTGGAAATTTTCATACTATAAAAAATTATAAATACATGTACATGTATTTTACCTTTTTTAGAACGAATAAATGTTATTTATTTAAATTGTATCATACAAACACACAATTTCAGTTTAGAATAGTCATGAACAGCGTTGCTTTTGATGAAATAAACCCTATCCCCAACCCTGATTTTGATTATTCACCTATTGACCGTAAAGCAAAAGCTGTGTGGTGTTATTGATACAATAAAAAAGAATTACTTGATGTTAATAATTCACCCTGAAGTCAGAGGATTCGTGGTAATTTTATCAATAAAATGAAAAATCAAACCTGATTCGTTATAAAGTCACCGGCTTCAGTTGGAGCCCAAAATGTTTCCCCAGGTTCTATATTGTGGGTCTGGACATTTTCCTGCCCGGCTAAACTCTCATCCAACTCTTCTAGTGCTATGATTTTATTGCTTTGATCAATATTATACTGGTCTGGTCCTGCGTTTCCTTGATTCTGTTCGATTTGTATATCTGCAGATGCTTTTGAATCTGAGTTGTTATGATGTACAGAGAGTAAATATGGTAGTATGCGACTTTGTACTGCTTTTTCAGATTGATTTTCGTTAGTACCAGCGGCTTCTTCCACCGTCTCAGTAAGTAAATGCTTACGATTAATTTCTGGTCTTTCACTGACACCTTGCTCGTTACCGGCTTGCTTCGAAGAATTGCTATGTAAATCCTCCGTACTCTTTGAGAAAAGTGCTACCAGGACGCTTTTTGTTGAACAATCGTCGTTTAAGTTTGGTGACTGTCCACGCTGGTCGTCCTCCATCCAGATTCCTCTGACCGCTGTTATTTGTGACCACATATCTATGTTTTCACATTCATTTCCGACATAACACGGAGCATCATGTACCTTCTCTTCGGTCGTGCGCAAACCGGATTCTAATTTGTCGAAAAACCTTGATTCATCTTTTTTCAGAGTAGGAATTTTAAAGGGATCAGTTTTCGCCAACTGCTGGCTGTCATTCCTAAGGTCCCTGAGAAATTGTCGATATGTATGCAGGTAAGAGTTAGCAAATCCTGATGGGTTTACAATATCTAAGAAACTGTTGAACGTATCTGTATACCCGATAAGACGTTCTGCGTCACTAATATTCTGGGCTTTGGTGGTCTGTTGTCGTTGCAATCCCTCGAAAGTGCTGGACAGTCACAGAAATAGATATAACGTTTGTTAATGAAAAAAAAAACATGATCATTTTTAGAACATTGCATTTTTAGACGAAATATGTAGCTTTTAAAAAAAACCAACAGTAAGTTGTTGAACTATTTTTCAGAAACTACAGAAGCAAACTATCACTGCTGTAACCAATAGAAATTTGCGATTGTTTTCAGTAGAACGATTAAACGTTTACATAACGATCATGCTATGAGCTAAACCTAGATTCTATATCAGTATTTGTGTACTGAAAATAGATTTGTAATGTGTGACTTTCAATGGAATGTACAATAGTGAGTAATTGGTGACCGGTACTTTTAAATATAAGCAATATACATGTACAATGTTACATAATGTACTGCATGTCTAGCCGTATTATTTATTTGTTATATTATCTAATATAAATTAATCTATCTAACACAAGATGTTAAAAACAGTTTACTTATGAACTTACATGCGAGGATCGAAAGGATTATTGTAAAGGATAGGTTTGTTCTTCCATACATTGTCACGTTCTTTTTTGTCTTCATACAAAGCATTTGTGATCTAAAACAAAACGTAAAAAAGATTCGAAATTAAGTTAGTGCTGTCTGCTTTCTTTGAAGTGAAGACGTTAGTATTATAAATAACACATAGGTTTGTTAGTAACATAAAAATATTATCCCGAGGAAAATACTGTTTAAAGTATTACAGATATTTTACGAGGGAGATGATATTTTTGTTGTTACTCACAAACCAGTGTGTTATTTATTTTATTACTCGGACAAATACTTCATTGGAACACTGTTTCTATAGGTTTTCATTTTACGGTTAAAAGGTACTGATACCCATGTGATGTGTAACTTGAATTAACAGTAAAAATAACTCTCATTGGTCTGTGGGAAATTAATATTACAAAGATAGTGACGGGTAATAATATCACATCAAAGTAATTGTGACTTCGTTGTTAGCTGTAACAAAACAGGAAACCTTACCAAAAATGTGTGACTCCCTATGAAAACACAACGTTGTTTTGTTGTTGTTGTTGTTTGTTTCGTTGTTTTTGTTTTATTTTGTTGCTTTTTTGTTGTTTATTTTTATTGCTAAAATTAAATAGAAAAAAAATGGATGATGTTTACCTTGTTTTTTCCAGGTTGTAAGTGAGGATGAGGGATGGGGGTCTCGGTAATAGTCTGTTCTATATCTGATACCCTGTAAACAAATGTCTAGCAGTTTATGTATACATTTATCATACGAAGTAAGACTGTGAGAATAATGTTTGTTTTTCAAAACAGTAGTTTCAACATACTAACACTTGTTAAATGTCTGTAAGATGTCCTTGTATTTTGAGAAAATTGATATAAACAATACCAGCGGGAAAATTATTTCATGTAGATTTGTGTGGACTGAATGTGAGCTGCACTGCGCAAACCACGACTGAAATATGAAGGCACGGACGTGCCGGCTGATATTGGTCTGCACAGAACCGACAGGCTTAGGTTTCACTGTCAACTCATTTTGACTGTCATCTATCAAGTGTAAGAATTTGTTTTAAAACAAACAAGCAAGTGGTGATTTATCCGATTTACATGATTTTTAAAAGTCAGACAGCATCCTTACTCTGGAACAGAAACCATTTGTGAATGAAGAAAGTAATTTAAAACATACCCGTCTTGATCCCTGTTTTCTTCATTTAAAGATGCGTTTTCATTTCTTTTAGAATCAAATTGTATTCCGGCGAGAATATCTGCGATTGATGTTGCCTGAAGCCGCTCATTTATCTGTTCATGTCTTTCTATGATGTTGACAACTGTTGAAGATAAAGTGTTGGGACACCAACAATCCGCGTCGCGTTGATTTTGCATAAAAAATGCAATTTCATGTGATTGAGTTTCATCTTTATTTATAGTGCTGTTATTATTGAAATTAAAGATTAAGCCAACGTTTGATCTCATTACGAAAATTAAGGAAATACTCCGGAAGCCATAAGAATGACGTCACATGTATACAACGTTTTTAATGCCATCGAATCGCGCCGCGTATTTTGCCGCTACTTTTTTGTTTTGGGACGTTATTATCACTGCAATACAGTTAAATCATCATCATTATGATTAATTACAATGAAACCCCGTTTCACGTATTTTATCATAAAAGTACCCCTAAAAAGGAAAGAAAATGTGTTTGAAATAAATTTCCAGTATTCAAAGAAGCATCGTTAAGGGAGACATTCATCCAACTCTTTCAATTTTTATATTAGAATATTTTGCCATTAATTTCTAGAAACGATAATGTTTTTCAAAAAAACTACAACTAATGCGTCCGTGGTCGTTCAATAATAAATGCAATTGTTTGAAAAAACAACAACAAGGAAACAACGAAACCGTTTTCTCGAAAATTTACTCTACTGTGCCATTATATCTACCTTGCATTTGTAAATGTAACTAACTCGATTCAATATATACACGTCATTAAAACAATTAATTTTTTGGAACTGTTTATGATATTTTTCAGAGTCTTGATATCTAAGAATGAAGCATATTTTTTTTGCATTTTATATCCCTTAAAGCTCAATTATATCTGCTGGTCTGTTTGTAAAGTTTCCGTTATCTACGATTTTATATGTATATGTAGCTATAAATAGACAAGCCACACAAACACGAACATTCACTAGTTATTTTTATTGCATACGTTTCGGCTATATGCCTTCATCAGAGCAAAACATAATCAAATTAAATATATAATATGGTTATATTTGTCATCATGAGCGCACTTATGTATTTTCCAGTACCATATGCGATGGTTATATATATGTGTTCAACTGCAGATTTTTTTCTTTCGCGTCAAATGACTAAATATAATATATATTTGATGTCTTTTGTCTGACAGGCAAAAACCCGTGCCTGTTTTCTCAGGTTCAGATGAGAAAAATAGATATTAAGTTTTGTACTTCGTGGTGTATTTCGGAAATTTACAACGAACAAAATATTGTATTAACACTCACGAATGCTTTTTTAACTTCCAGACATGAAAATTAATAAACTCAAACCGCCTACCACTTTAATTTCCCCTTACCATTTTGTTAGGGATTTGGCATACTTTCAATTGAGGAAGTTATCTAACAAACTTATGGAACGAAGGTGGTTCTACTCAGCTGTCTTTTCTTACACGGAGGGCACTTGGGATCTTCTTACAGCAGTAAAGCTGAAAAGTAGCCATATGACCTATACAGTGTTGGTTAGACGAAAATCCTATCCAGATAAAAATAAAAAAATAAATGAAAATAAAAGAATAAACTATATAATCGGAACAGCCTAGTGTGACTCATGAATGAAGGTCAAATCGAAAAATGTGACTTGATTGTCGTACAATGTTTGCAGATTATTTATTTATTTTAACTTCTTAATAATTCATTAACTATCATATAAGTTAGTGTGATAATATTACAGTAAATGGACCCCATTGGAAATAAGCTTTTAGCTTAATGGGCAATCCTAGGGTAACATAAAACATACTGATTAATTTTATAATTAATTTTGTTGCATTTTGTGTGTGTTTTATATATACATGTTGATATAAGTGACAATATTGTGAGTGTTAATGTTTATTCCCTGAATAAATCGATACGAAAGGTCTATTAACATAAAGAAATTTTTAGAAGATGACAGCGACAATTGTTTTTGTTTCGACCATACCCAGAGTTTACCCCGGGTAACACTACAAACAAATCCCACAATGCATTACCACATGTAAACAACCATGTGTACTTTCGATTTAAGGTTGGTTCAATGAAAAGGTTAGATGTTTCTTTGTTTTTTAGGAAAATCTTTAAAGTATTTAAACTTTGTTAGTGACTAAATAACTGACAAGGATTGAAAAAGTATAAACTGTATTTAGAAGATATATCGATCATATAAGATCTACCATGGCTGTGTGTACGTTAAATGCACATTTAAACAGTTGTATGTACAGTAACGAACGTAGTCAACATCCACTTACTTTTATCCTGTTTTAATTGCACCCTTTAACTCCTGAATTTCTCAGAGTAGGCTAATTTTAAAACAAACAGACACGGCATGGCTAGTTTTCAACTCCAAAATGTTTTTTGTGACAGTTTACTTTCAATAAATGATAATATTGTAATAACATTCGACCCAACATACATTTTTATAATGATATTGAAAATTTTGTGTATATTTATAAAATAAAATATTAATGTTAACTAAAAACTATATGAAAAACTAAATATGAAAAAGAGCATTAAAAATGTACATCATTTTCACTTTGAAGCTTATATAGACAGGCTCGTTTAAGAATTCATTTTTGCCCAGCTCATCCACGCTTTTAAATTATGATCATATTTAGAATATAACTAAATGCCAGATCTAACATAAAGCTGTATGTACATGCACTTGTTGAACTATTTTTATTTTTATTTTCAGACAATCTGGAAGAGGAAAATGGATCTTTTTAAAGATAAATTTCTTCTCACAAAAGAATACTTTGAAAAGAAACCAGTAACTCCTGAGGAGGAAACTCTAACTCAGGTACTAAACCTCACACCGCTTGACAAGAAAGAGGAGGAAAAAGAAGAAGAAAAAATAGTTCCTGGCCGGGAGCTCGGTCACGAGGCACTACAGGGGAAAATCGTGGGACTATATTTTTCCGCCAGTTGGTGCCCACCGTGTCAGCAGTTTACACCTCTCTTATGTAATGTGTACGATGAACTGCAAAACAGAAAAGCTAATTTTGAAGTGGTCTTCTTAAGTTTTGATAAAAATGAGGAAGATATGGAAGTATATTTCCGACAGAGGCATAGAAATTGGTACGCGCTTCCCTTCGATGACCCTTTCAGAGAGTAAGTAGATGTAATACCTGCAGTTAAAATAAAGATAATTATAATAATAATAATAATAATAATAATAATAATAATAATAATAATAATAATAATAATAAAAATGATGATAATGATGATGATGATGATGATGATGATGAAGATGATGATGATGATGATGATGATGATGATGGTGGTGGTGTTGATGATGATGATGATGATGATGATTAGAATGACGACGATGATGATGATGATAACGATGATGATGATGATGATGATACCAACAATAAATATGCATAAAATCAAATATGATACCTTCATAATTTTCTGATTAAATGATTTTTTGTTCGGACAGTTTCCGCCCTGTAAATGCTTTTATAAATACATGCAAATACTATTTTCTTCTCTTAACTTTCTTACAGTGAACTAAAAGCCAAGTACAACGTAACGGCGGTACCCAAATTTATCATTATTAATAAAGACGGCGAAGTGATTTCATTAAAAGGCAGGAAAGAAGTTCAAGACAAAGGTGTCATAGCTTTCCGAAACTGGTCACAGTCTGCAAGTATATACGAAGCAAAACAGTCTCAGAATCAGACCACAAATGATAACAACAATAACGCTGATAATGTGAAAGACGAAAACGAGGACGAAAACGAGGCTATGACTTGAAAAACGTTAATTTTCTGGCAAAGTCTGGCGAGCTTTGGTTTTTGTGAAACGTAGTTTATGTTTGTTGTTGATGCTGTTGCTAAATAAGTTAGAACATGATTGTGCAGGCGGCAGTTACATTTCTGCCAAACATGTTGGCCACTGATCAACAGTTATGTATTTTTAACGATATAGTGTCATATACCAGTTAGTTGTTTTTTCTATTAAAGGTAAAGTAATAAGACTAAATGGGTGTACTACTACGCATGCTTGCGGTGCTACAGAGTTGCCTTACTCGACTACGTGTATCAACACAAAATCAATTGTTTACTGATATATGATTATTTTATTGTTATTTGCATTTTGAGTAAATATAATTTTGCAACATACATTTTGTTACTTTAAAGTGGAAGAAATTATTCTTTAATTAGTTATATTATCAAAACTGTCAATTCACAACTGTCAATACCACGGTTTCACTCATTTTGGATGTACCATTTGTGCTATCTTGTCAGTGTTTTGCAATTTCAAGAAGGGCGACTATCAAGTGCATGAATGCTACACTATATTTTTGTAGCATATTTGAAATGTGTTTTCCCCCCTTGCGTTTTTAATACATGTAAATTGTACAGTATTACATGTCTGTTTTCTCCATTTAATAGGCAAGCATTTACGCATTATAAAAGATCAATACACATGTATATCAATGGTCCAGCTGTATAAAAGCAAACAGTTGTCTTTGTTATATGTGTTCCTGGAGTCTGTATCAATACATATACCTGTTCTTCAATAAATAACAGCCAACTTCTCCAGATATATTTATTCTTTACGGACACACACTGCATTAGACAAGCCAAAACCCTCAACCAAAACGTGCGGGCCTTACATTTTTTAGTATTTTACACCCACTTAGGCTGCTGATAGGTGCATACGTTTTGCTGACCGGGATATCCCTTCCCATTAGTTAATAGCCGAGGACGATATGTCTATAGACGTTACCCAGACCGGAAGTCCGTGCACTCAAAGATACTTTGACATCTGCTTCTTATATTTGAGAATTTTGAAAGTTCCAAAGCCATTATCACTACAAGTATATCTCGGCACAGTTTACGGAGTAAAGATGTTTTTCTGTGCTCTAACTGACACTACATCAAATGTTGAGTTTACTGAACCGCTTGTGTTGTTCAAAGCGGAAGTGTCATCCGCGGTTCAGTCATTTGCGCGTGAGCATCAAATAAGATGGATGGAGTTTTCGAGTTATATAATGTCTTAAATGATCCAGTGTCTGCCTTGGTTTCAAGTGTAATACGGATGAACAATTGTTATATTTTAAGCTTATCTTTGCCCGGCATGACAAAAGTAGAATTATATATTTACAAAGAGTTGATTATGTTATCATAATAAAGCCTGCCTTACCATTTACGTAAATTAGACGAAAATAATTTTATTCTAGTTTGCATCATTCAATAAGTAGTCCTTGTATTCTCCCACATTAGATTTGAAGTATGCTTTATGGCCGACAATTTTATGGAGCATAGATTTCAAGTGACAAGTTAATTATACTTTTTCAAAACTTATAATTTGTCGATCTACTTTCCTTCTAGAACACCCATGATGCGAAGAAGCAATTATATTTTGGTATACTTAAAATTATATTTTTTATGAAATGAAATGTCATAGGAACCTCCGTGAAAAAGTGCAGTGGTTAAAGGGTTTTGATTCAAACTACTTACCCCTCCAACCTTTGGATTCGAATCCTACCAGGGAATATAGGTTTTTTTGTGAATGCTTGCGGAAGGTCAGTGGTTCTACTCGGGTGCTAGATTGATCCTGAAATTACGAACGGACCAGGGACTCCTGAGGTCTTCAACCACCAGAAAAGCTGGAATATCACCGTGTTACCGTGACATTTATTCCAAACAAACAACCTATTCAAATTGGAGATGTCTTTAAAATTTATTCATTATATGAAGAACACCCAAATTTCCATAACCAAATAGTATTCCTTTTAAATTAATAAAAACTGTTGAAAGGGGTTAAAGAGGAACTTCCTGGCCCACACTGGGCCGTTTTAACATATCTTATTAAAGATTCAACCAAAGCAAGTGAAAACATGTCATTATCATTGCAAAACATATTATAAATGATATTTATTCAGTTTGAATTAATTGTATACTTGTGGTGCACACATAAATGCATTCTTTAATATGTTTTGCAGTCAGAGTGACGGTTATTCAGCGGTTAACAGCAGGTTTTGCCATATTTATATTCATTTCATATAAATTAACATAAATAACACAAAGAAAAGCTTTACATTTCGCTTTTATTATACGATTTAAAAGGCATGATTTTTTGTTCTGCACCTTGTTTAATGTGGTTCTTGAGATAGGTTAACGTATCCGGGGTATATATTTACAGAATACAGTGGTTTGAGAAAAAAAATATCGTATTAAAATATTTTATTTTATTTTAAATTATAACAACTTTACCAGTTAATTGCTAGTCATAAATAAGCACTTAAATGCAAAAATCGATGCTGCGAAAAATAGGTAGAAAAGAATAAAGAAGAAAAATACATCCTGTTACAGCTTAATATAACGTATTTAAATTACGTAGGAAGTATTTCAGTCCTGTACAGTACACAAAAACCGTCAGTTTGTTACAATATATCAGTCATTTATATTTCTATTGACAGTTTGGGATAGATTTCGAACATGTCTGCCTTGCCTGATTGCCCTGCCTTGTCCTGCCCACCCCTACCTACTTACTCATAGTGTCAATATATCTATTCCATAGAAAAGCGAAATCATGCTGATTATTTAACTTACATTCTTTAAAGGCACATTGTGCCTCAGTAATTCATATTTTTATAGAAAAGCGAAAATACATGCTGATCATGTAACTATTCTTTAAAGGCACGTTGTGCCTCAGAAATTCATACTTTTCAATTCTTTAGAAATGTGAAACATGTGTTTAGTAATGTTTTAATGATGATTTTTAAGAACACGATAGATGTTTAAGAACTGAACGTGCAGTAATGTGTCATATGTAAACAAAGTAGTATTTGACTTCCATACAAAATACAAATTCACTATAATTGCCAACAAAACAAAAGTAGCAGGAGAAAGTTCATGAATAAGGTCATAAGTATTTTTTTTTGAAACTGTAACGAGATTACAAAAATAAAAATGTTTGAGAAATAAAATTGATATCATTTTTGAAGCATCGTGGGCCTTTAATACATATATTATTAGCTATTGGAGGACTTCAGCACTCAAATTGTCTCACAGAATATGCATCGCTTTTGGAATTAAATTTGCAAAACCCATTTACTTAATAAGGCGGAAATTTTAAGTGATATTACTTATGTCAACACTTGCTATAAAATATGGAACATTAAACAATAATTGCAAAAATAGATATCACTAACCGCCAAATTAATGATCGGATTCATGAGGTTCATAATGTGTTTTCATAAAATAATGCTGCAACATATGAGACGCGTCACCACAAAACCAACGTACTGCGTTTGCGACCAACATGGATCCAGACCAGCCTGCGCATCCGCGCAGTCTGATCAGGATCCATGCTGTTCGCTTAGAAACCCTATTACAAGTAGAGAAACTAATAGCGAACAGCATGGGTCCTGATCAGACTGCGCGGATGCGCAGGCTGGTCTGGATCCATGCTGGTCGCAAACGCACTATGTTGGTTTTGTCGTGACACGGCTCATATGTTCCTAAAGACATGACAATAGTTATACTATATAATAATTATAATATATTATTTATTGTTGAATCTTTATTTTTTTCTTTGCTTCAAACGTTTTCCATTTTTTTCTACCTCATTTGTTTAGTAAAATATTTCTTTTTTAGTAAAACGTTACTATTCATGTACGGAAGCACAGAGGGGACATTCCGATTTTATATTATTTCCTATCTCGTGGCCACGAGTTATAACTCAGAAAAAAACAAAATGCTATCTCGTGGCCACGAGATGTAACTCAGAAAAAAACGAAAAAGAAAATGCTTTCTCGTTCCCACGAGATACAACTTAGAAAAAAAAAAAAACAAAAAACAAAAAATCCTTATCTCGTGGCCACGAGTTATAACTCAGAAAAAAACAAAAAACAAAAAATTTGCTATCTCGTTCCCACGAGTTATAACTCAGAAAAAAACAAAAATAAAAAATTTGCTATCTCGTTCCCACGAGTTATAACTCAAAAGAAAAACAAAAAAACCCAAAAAATTGCTATCTCGTTCACACGAGTTATAACTCAGAAAAAAAAACAAAAAACAAAAATTCGCTATCTCGTGGCCACGAGTTATAACTCAGAAAAAAAACCAAAAATTCGCTATCTCATAGCCACGAGTTATAACTCAGAAAAAAACAAATAACAAAAATTTGCTATCTCGTGGCCACGAGTTTTAACTCAGAAAAAAAACAAAAAACAAAAAAATTGCTATCTCGTTCCCACGAGTTATAACTCAGAAAAAAACAAAAAACAAAAAATTGCTATCTCGTTCCCACGAGTTATAACTCAGAAAAAAAAAAAAAAAACAAAAATTTGCTATCTCGTTCCCACGAGTTATAACTCAGAAAAAAACAAAAAACAAAAAATTGCTATCTCGTTCCCACGAGTTATAACTCAGAAAAAAACAAAAAACAAAAATTTGCTATCTCGTTCCCACGAGTTATAACTCAGAAAAAAAACAAAAAACAAAAAATTGCTATCTCGTTCCCACGAGTTATAACTCAGAAAAAAACAAAAAACAAAATTTGCTATCTCGTGGCCACGAGTTAGAACTCAGAAAAAAAAATTCGCTATCTTGTTAAAGAGTTAATCGGCCAGTAAGCTTTTTATTCTATTTCGTTGACATAAAATCATTCTATAGGCCGCCATCTTGGCAAGTATGTCTACTCGCGCCGAAATCAACGAGCGCATCTTCGATTTTATTGGTCAGCTAACTCGTTACCACGACTTAGATGTGTTTATCTGATTGGTCGGCTAACTCGTGGCCACGAGATAGGGAATTTTGTTTTTTGTTTTTTTCTGAGTTATAACTCGTGGCCACGGGATAGCGAATTTTTGTTTTATGTTTTTTTCTGAGTTATAACTCGTGGCCACGAGATAGCGAATTTTTGTTTTTTGTTTTTTTTCTGAGTTATAAACTTATAACTCGTGGCCACGAGATAGGAAAATAAAATTAAAATCGGAATGTCCCCTCTGTGCTTCCGTATTCATGTGCATGCTTGGCGAAGATTTTTTACATGCTACTTTAGCACATTTCTAAAAGAACACATTAAAACTAGATTTTAATGGTGTTTTTGATATATTTATTATTTCTTGCTCGGGTCGAATGTTTCTTCTCACGTGTTTTCAGTAAGA